GTCGCATGACAAGTTTACTCATCACGCCACGGTAGCGAGACTTTGATATCAATATTTTAAAATGTAGTGATAACAATGCGACTAACCGCCTTGATAAATAAACAAAAAAAAAAAAAAAAAAAAACAGGTTTAATTATAATTTTAATCACTTTCCGAAAATAAACAATAACATAATTAATAATTTGTTGCTTGCCAACTCTTTTATACCCTCAGCATTCTGCTTTTATAGAACATCCTTTGATACGACAGAATTGTTCATAGTTGAAATAATGGTTTCTGATCCGAAGTTCTTTCTTTTCAGTATAGTGATTATATCGGCACACCCCTTTTCGCACCTCCCCGCAAAAGGTCAACACTTGTTGCTGCAAGAATCCACTATTTTTGCAGTTTTTTTTTTTCGCTAGAAAAAAGTAACATTTTTTCAATTCTGGAACTGACCAACTATAAATAATAACTGGGATGAGTGTAAGATTAGAGTGCGACATTTAACAAACATCACAGATATCAATGTTTCTGTCAAAATTAGATATAGTGTGAAAATTGACTCCCTCTGGCACACCCTCCGTAAAGAGTCCTTCTAACAAAATGATAAACGACTGACTGTTTTTCTTTAAACTTAGATCAACTGCAAAAATTAAAAAATATTGTTTCTCCGATGTTCTTTAAACTTCACACTTCCCAAGCAATATCGATGAAGAGCCGATAAAAAATGTAAAAAGTGTGATTTCAATAACGTGCATTATTAAAATGTTGAAATTTAATACTGTACTTCCAACCACAAAATCGAAGAAGAAATTTGTATTAGCACTGGACTATTGTTATTGCTTAACGTAACCTACATTTGCAGTGATGCATGTTGAAATTTGAATTCGAAAATTATTACACAAACAATGTGATTTTTTAAAATAATATCAAATTACTATATCCGAATCACATGCCTTTTGCTTTACAAATCTGTCGATAAAAGCCATAACATAATTTATTTGTTATATTTTAGGTGAACATCTGACTGGCGAATACAGAGATAAAGTTACCCGCTTCAAACGGATTCCCGCCATTAACGACCATGGATTTCAATTATCTGAAAGTGTAGCCATATTCCGCCACTTGGTTAGGGAAAAAATTGTTCCAGAGCACTGGTATCCACGTAAAAATCTGGGTCGCAGTCGCATAGATGAATATTTAGAATGGCGCCAGCGTAACCTGGGCGTAGCCAGTACGGATTACTTCCAGCAAAAATGGCTCGTACCGTATTTACAGAAAACTCGAGCCAACGAGAGTTCAGTAAGTTATGAAATCCAGCCAAAAACAAAAAAGGCCATTATAAAATTGAAAACAAATGCAATAGTGTGCTTCACTAATGCATGCAAATTTAATAACGGAAGTGCCTTGACAGTGACATCGTTTTCAACTTTGGCCAAACCTCCAAGTTTTTTTTTACAAACGAGTTTTTGATTATCACTTTGTTTTGGTTCGTCTTTAACTGTTTTTTTCACGTATTTTTTGCTTTTGTTTGTAGGTAAACGGAGCTGCTAAACAACTTGAACGCAATTTGAACGATTTCGAAAATCTCTTTCTACAGTCGAACAAATTCATAATTGGAGATACTATTTCGTATGCAGATTTATTGGCCATATGTGAGGTGGACCAACCAAGTAAGTGCTAATAAAGCAAACGTTTTGATTATTAATTTTTATATATTATATTAAATACATACATGTTGTGCTGTTTGAATGACATCCTTTCGTACGAACACAGGGCATTTAGTAAATATTTACAGCCTCATTTTATCCAAAAAAAAAATACTCTCGCTCGAATCTTTCGTATTTAAAGTATCCATCGTACAGTTAAAGCAAGGTAACATCATTTTAAATACCAACCCATATCCAGATCTTTATTTTCTGTAATTTACCTTGTCAAACTTAACTTGATTTAAAACAGGTTGCCATATCTGATTTGGGTACATACTATGGACTTATGAATATACATTTTGTCAATTTGAAAAAAAAAACTTGAAACTTATGATTATACAAAGTTCCAAGTTTCAAATTTGATTTACATAAAACATTTGGGAGGCTAACGTGTCATCCCAAAAATCTTTGGCAGTCTTGCAATATGTTTAATTCTTTACATTCGATACTAGTTTGTTCCAATTTATTCTCATTTAAAACACAAAAAAAAAAAAAACAATAAACAACATTGACTTCATGGGTATCATGGCATCTTATTTTTAATGACTCTGGCAGTAGGCGGGCCTTTCTCCCGGACTGTATTTCAGTAGTTTTACGAACCTGATTTACCTTCTTTTTTATCATGGGGCGAAACTGTAACTCATCTGTAAACCAAAATTAAAATTTGTTTCACATTCTATTTTTAATTTTTTTTTCAGAATATATTGGTTATAATCCATTTATTAAACGCAACAAGCTCTCAAAATGGTACGATGCTGTTCGAGAGGAATTGGGACCATTCTACAAGGATGTTTCTGGAGAATTTGAAAGCAAATTACGAACGGCTGAGAAAGGTCATAACGAGGTCATTTCGATGAAGCAATAATTATGCTTATGCCCTCTATCTTTGATTTGTTATATGATTTCCCTCAAATTAAAATCTTAGTTTATAGAATGTAAAACCACATATCACACATTACACCCGTATATAAGGTGCCGAATTAGATATTAATGTTGTACTTAATTAATAAGAAATGTTTAACATATTTATATTAGTGTATATATATGTAAATAGAACCGAATAAATTATAAGAAGATCTATGTGTCCATAGTAAATCTTGGGCATTTTGCAATGGTTAATTAACTTGAAGGTAGAACCATGGGACAAGATTATCTAATAATAATTATTTGTTTCTTTTTATCCATAATCAAAGAGCTGCATTGAGTGTGGCTGAGTATGCTTAATAAAACCAAAGAAAAATTATAGGTATTGATTAAAAAAACTAATCCTCAGCAATTTTCGTGTACATTTCATCGATAATCAACAATATCCCTATAAAAAAATAGGGGGGTTACTATGTAATTCGATTCAAAAGTTAAATATTACGGATGCGAATTTTTTACCACCTAACTCGAATTCGCAATTACATTTCCTAGTTTCGAGTTGCCAGATATTGATAATCTCCTTTCGGATTTGCATTACTATGTATTTCGAATGTAGATGTCAAAGTCGCTCGAAATTCAATTTCAATTTTCTTTATTGAGACTTCTTTTTATCAGATATTACAATTTTATATTTAGTAACAAACAATAACATATGTTGATTTTAGTTCTGTAAACGTATTGAACTAATAAACTCTAACAGTGTTGACATCTTCAATTCGATACGAATTAATAGTTCTTATAAAATACATTTAATGTAATATAGTGACAGTATAAAAAACAATGTTTGCTCACGACATTTACGGTGTTGTACAGAGCTTGGTCTGATATTAACAATATTAAGGGAAACAACCTAACATAAAACAGGATAACAATAAATTTCCTGTAACAATAAAAACATGAAATTAACAATTAACAATAATCGTTTTTTTATAACAATGTAAATCGAAAGTACAATTACAGTATGTACATATACAAGTATAAACAGATAATAATCTTTATAATTTAGATTACGAAATTATAGCGTTCATATAATTGTATTATAAGCGTATATACAAAAAACATTAAAAACATATAATACTGGAGACGTAAGATTTTATCCTCGATGCGAACAAGGCACAGCCTTGATATAGAATTGAGGAGGTGAGGTTAGATTGACATTATTAAGATCTTCGTGAAGTATTCCTACTGACGATAGGTATGTAGACGAAGTCCATGTGGTATTGTGGTTTGCTTCAAAGATTTCGTTCATTAATGGATTTTCGTGATGCTCCAGTCTTTCGGCGAATTTTAGGTGTTGTTGCATCGCATAGTGACAGAGAGGTTTGATGGAAGCGTTGGTGTAAATGAATTCGTTCGAGTAACGTTTCGAGGGGCATTGGAAGTTTTTGTTCAAACATTTGCGTAAGACATTTCTCTCGAATATTTCCATGTTGTTGGCCACCACAGGAGAAATGGAGAACCAAATAGGGAAAGCGTAGATGAGCAGAGGTCGTATCGCTACCTTATAAATTAGAAGTTTTGTCTGTGATGGCAGATATTTACTCTTGAGGATACCAGCATACATTCCAGCAACTTTTTTTGCTTTGGTGGTGATAAGCCGACCATGCTGATTAAATCGAAATAGGTAACTAAAGGTTACACCTAGATACTTTAATGATGTTTTGAATGGAATTTGGATACCATCAAGCGGAAGAGAGAGGTTTTTACTTTGCGGCACCACCAGTCTATGACATTTGCCACTCGCATTGCGAATGCAAATAGCTTCAGATTTTGTGGGGTTTATTTTAATGCCCCATTTTTTGTAAAAGTTGTTAATGATGTTGAGATGTGTGGCAACTGCGTTACGAGCTTCGTCTGGAAATTGGTTGTGCGAATAGATAAGACAATCATCTGCATACAGGATAGCTTGCGAGTTTAAGTGGCGGTGTGGGAAATCATAAAGATATAAATTGAATAAGAGGGGCGCTAGGACGCTCCCTTGCGGGACTCCGCTTCTTACTTCTCCAAAATCCGAAATGGCATTTTGAATTTGGACACAAAATTTGCGGTCCTGAAAGTAGTTATGTAACAACTTAATGAGGAATGGATCAACATTAAGTTCAATTAGCTTGTAAATAATACCTTTATGCCAGGTCGAATCGAAGGCTTTCTGAATGTCTAATGATACTGCGACTGTTGAATTCTGCAATCTTAGGTTGTAGACAATATCCGAGTGTAGTTTAAGAAGTGCATGTTGCGTCGAATTTCCAGGCCTGAATCCAAACTGGTAGTATGAAAGAGGATTTATAACAAATTCATTTTCGATTTTTGATTTTAACACAACTTCAAAAAGTTTTCCGATATTAGAGAGCAGTGAAATAGGTCTGAAATCAGCCACATTTTCTAAGGAGTTTTTTTTTTAATGGGAATTATCTTTGAAATCTTCCACGATGGGGGGAAGTGCCCATTATTAAGACAGTTGTTGAAGACAATGACTAAGAGTTTTATGGCCGACTCAGGGATCTTTTTCAGTATGTAGTTCGAGATGTTATCAATGCTGCAGGATTTCTTGTTTTAGAAGCGGCGATTATGCTTTTAACAGACTCCGAATTTGTGAAGTGGTAAAGGTCTTCATTATCGAGGGATGTGAAATCATCATTAAAGGTATAAATTTGACGAGGAAGGTTTTCCAAACAACGACCAATCCTGGAATCTATGTTTTCCACAGGGCTATCTGGGGCTTGCTCGCTGAAAACTGATCCATAATAATTGTGAAATAGGGTACATTTATCTTCATCAATTGTAGCCGATATGTTATTATATGTAATACAGTGGCTATGTAATGATTGTCTCTTACCGATGACTCTGTTAATCTGCTTAAAAGCCGATGGACCGGGGGTAATTTGTTGCAGGAACTTCCCAAAGCTTTTAGCTTGCTCCAATCTGATTAAGTCATTGATAATTATTTTTAGCAAGGAGATCTGCTTTGACAGAATATTATATTCCGGAGAAGTTCGATTGCCATTCCGATGATAAATTCTCTTTAATTGTTTCTGGCACCTATGCTTTTGGCTTAGAAATAGTTTAATGTTTTCTGGCAGAGGCCAGTTGCCATTTTTTAGTTCGATTTTGGTGGAATGTCTATCAGCCATGTTTGCTAGGGTTTGAGAAAATTTGTCCACGATATTATCAATTTCGGGGTTGCTCAGATTCCTGTTGATAGGTGGCAAAAGGTCTGATGAGGCTGCATCAAGATCTCTTTTAAAATGAGACCAATTGGTATTCTTAAACGATTGGAATGAATTAGATGGTATTACATTGAATTCAAAGTCAGCTAATCGCAATTGTAACTTTAGTGGGTAGTGATCTGAAAACGAAGCTAAAGATGAAATTTCGTAATTAGGCGGGTTAAAGGAGATAAGATGCCTGCTAATTAGGAAGTGATCAAGGTATGAGCTCCCATTTGGGAATGAGGGATTCACATCACAGATTCTGTGTACGTCACTTACGTTGTCCTGAAGCCAATTCCAAAGAGAAACTCCATTCGGGTTTTGGATACGATCTCCCCAATAAGGGTTTTTTGAGTTTAAATCACCTCCAACAATCATACCATCATAATTATTAGCAAGGTTGAAAATTTTATCAAGACCTGAAATTATGTCCAATCTGGGGAAATTTGAAGGGATGTATAAAGATCCAATCATATACCTTTTCGCAGCACCGCCATGTTTAAGAATTATTTCGAGAAAAATTGTGTGAAACCGCACATCTTCCAATGCTACTCGTTTGAAAAAAGTGTTGTCCTTAATTAAAATTGCTACACCCAGAGGACTATCGTCAGAGATGAGTTTGTATCCTTTAATGTAAATTCGCCGTTTGTTTTTCAGATGAAGCTCTTGTAGGAGGCAAACATCAATTTTATTATAAAATAACATATTTTGTAATTCAATTTGCCGCATCTTGTCTACGAGCGAGCGCACGTTAAAAGTCATAATATTAAGAGCCTTATAGACCATTTTTAACTTTGTTTAAAATACGAAGAAACTCAGCCTTAGCTTCACTTTTTGGCATATGTCGGTATTCGTTCAAGAATCTCTCGATTTCTTGTTCTAAGGTCAGAACTTCGGGCTCCATAAAATATTTTGACAATTTTAAAAACTAGTCAATCAATGCATTTGATTGGGAAGTTGGTGGTGAAGAAAAACAACCGGAAAAGGACTTACCAGGAACAATCATTGCAGAAATCGACTTCTTAACTTGCTGGGCCGCTACCTCTCTCTGCTCTCTGGATTTTCTCAATAGATTTCTTCTATTTTCCATATATTTTTTATATGAGGAACAACCCCTCCAGCTGGCAGGATGACCGGCTTCACCGCAGTTTGAACACACAGGGACATTGGATTCGGCTTCTTTTAATGAGCAAGCACCTGGCTCATGACTGTCGCTGCACTTAACGCATTTAAACGGGTAATTACAATTTTTGGCAATGTGCCCCCAGTGTTGGCAGCGCCTGCACTGAATGACCTTTTCCTTGTTTTTGGGAACTTCCCAATAGACGGTTTGATGTAAAATTCTATTGATGTGAACAATATCGTTTTTGGTTTTGCTTGGGTGTAGCGTAACTAAAAAAAGCCCGGTGTCATAGTTGTTTTGTTTTGAGTGTTTTGTCACCAACTTCGAGACATGGGCTACAATGCCCGGCGCCTCAGAATCCAAAATGTCCTTAACCTCAATAACGGAGGAACCACAATGCAAACCACGCAGCACCAAGGAAATTTGTTTTAGTTCAGTAGGGGTAAAAGAGTATGATTTTACTTTATTTTCTCTAAGAATCGCCATCATTTCGCTATGCAGCGAAGCGTCGTTAAAGTACAGTTTACTTTTATGTTTGTTCACATTTTTTATTATGAAAGAGCCGGCTGGCACTCTCTCTTCCAGTTGCTTTGCCAACAAGTTTATATCTTGATCATAAATGAAGATGGGTGGACAAAACTTATTTTTTGGTTCCACGTTGTTGGGACTTTTCTTGGCGGGCCGTTCCTTACGGCTGTTGGCAGCTGGCTTACTTTCACTCAAATTGTTAGAATTACCTTGGCTAGATGTATCGACAAATTTAATTTTACTCAAAATTGAGAAGCGGTTTTGGTTGCTAACGTCATAGGAAGTCACATCAACCTCCTCGTCATCAAAAGCACACCGTTTCCTTGAGTTGCAAGCGCCTAACAGGGCGTTGTCACTAATGATTGTTTCTTTCATCCTGGATTCCTGAAAATTACTTACAGCCATAAAAAAAATGGCGTAAAAATTACCAGGAGGCACCACCGGTGAAAATTTCTTTTCAATTCAAAGTCGCTCGAAAGAAGACATTTGTATTCGTTTGATTTTTACCTAACGGATAGAGAAAAATAAAACAAAAAAGAATTATTACAATTCAAAAAAGGATACAAAGCTCTGAAAAATGTGAATATTTCATTAATTCATACGCATTTTTAGGTAAATATGACTTAAAGTAATTCTTATAGGGAATATAATACAAGAAATATCAAAAAGCCAATTTAAAATAATGGCTACTTAAAAGCTTTAGACGCCAAACAAGCCACCAATGATTTCTGGGTAAAAAAATAAATGCAGCCTCCTTTTAAGTTTTGGGTAGATCATAAGACACAATATCATAAGTTTGTTGTGCCAATCCAGCAATGCTGTCGTGACCGATTTGGTGTTGGTACCCACCTTGCCCAAGAAACTTAAGTGTAGCACCCAATTTGACTATTGAAGTTACACTAATAGACCTCAGCGATGTCGGCTGCTGTTGTCCAGCACGTAATTAAATGCTTCCTTGTTAATCCCAAGAAAGAAACTCATTGCAATATGTAGAAATTTACACCATATTTATATAATTGTTACTTACGTTGCATCCGTCAACTAAATTAAGTCTACACCATCGCGTTTGATTTACGCTCCAATCGCTCATCTTCATTTTGCAACCAAAGAGCAATCGAATCCATTTTATTTGAACACCGATGTAAAAATCCTTTATGCGGCGCGGAAAAATAAATATTTTTTGCTTACCTTTATTGGTATTGTTTTGACGTTTTACGAAATAAATGCTGCCAACTTTAAATAATACACTCGAAAGTACTGCCAAAAGAAATCCTATTAGTAGCGACACTTTTTAGTCGATCCGAAACTGTTACATAGTACCAGTTTAAATTCGGATGCAACTTTCGACTCATTCGAACTATCGAGTCGAGTTACATAGTAACCCCCAGATCTGTAGAATTACAACATTATGCTATGTCATGATGTGGTGATATAACATATTTTTCCACTTATCAAAACTGAGTAGGAATGTAATGAACTCAATGCAGCGGTGTGAAATAACTTGTCCATTCGAAAGTTCGAGACGAAGTAATGAATAAACATGGGTTGATTGAAATTTAATGTTCGAACAGCTGCGTAGTTGTTATGTTTATGAACATGTGTTTGATTATGTCTAGATTGCGTTTTTCTGCTTCGTGCTGGTAACGTGGGCAAAATCGGATACTAAATTCAATCCTTTGGGGTTCAGATGCAAACCTTTTGGTTGTAAACATAATAGTAAGTTATTTGTCAATTCTACACGTATTGGGTAGTTTCTACTTTCAGAATGGAAGTAAAACTGAATTAAATTCACTTTATGATACCGGCATTTGCATCTTTATGTGGTTTGGAATTGTCATTCTCCAGTAATAAGCTTGATACATGACAACCAGGGTGAGATAAAAAACTGCAATAAAGTCAAACGCCATAATTTGTTCAAATTTGTCACCCTTGGCACGAATTATGGCCTTCAAACACCCAATGAAACCGGCACATGCTGCCCGAATGTTGCTCTGTGGTATTTTGCTTGAGGTGATCGACACTTTGGTATTTTTTATATTTATTTTAATACTCCAGACGCAACAGTCCAACGGATTGGTATCCGGAGACTTTGGTGGCCATTGTGCTTTGGAAATGAAGCGAGGAACCTTATTTTGCAACCATTCTTGGCTGGCGCGTGCTGAGTGCGATGATGCTGAGTCCTGTTGGGATGTCAAAGGTCTGCGGCCAAAATATTTGCCTGCCCAAGGCTTTAAATCGCCCTCCAGAATATTTTTGCGAAAATATTCGGCATTTATTCTGATGCCACGGTCTATTAATACGAGCGGAGAGCGGCCATCGGCTTTTACTTTTGACTTTGTTGCAGTTTTTTTATCTCACCCTGTATACTATATATATTTTATACAACGTATACATGACTTCTTTAATATTAATCGCTTTCAGAATCCCAGTTGTATCTGAATTGGCAATAAAAGGACTTCTTCAGACATTTTCAAACCAGAAGAAAATAGCATACTGTTGATAATATCGATCATTGTTCCTTCACGACTCATTTTCTGGTGTACAGTTCACCGGGGTTCCGAAAGTCCTTATTTCTGAATTCGATGGCTGTCTCAGATCAGCCGATGACTTAAGCCAGTCAAAACAGCGTTTTATGTATTCTAAAATTAACAGCACCCTGAACTAATTCTTGCTCTGTCCAGAACTTTCAAGAATCGACCAGTTTTGCATTTTTTCCGATATCATAAAGGAAATATTGTTTATCGTAGTAAAAAGTTTCACATTCATGCAGTTTAAGTGAAGTTGGCTAAACAAAAACAATAAAAAAACGCCTAGCAACTCCATCGTTTATAGTTCGGCGTGATTTAGGCTTGTCAACAATAGTGTCCACTTTTTCCCTCTAAGCATGAATATTCTACTTTCGACCATTTCACAGGAACCAAGAACTGGCATTATTATATAAAAATTCCACCAACAACTGCATTTTATTTCAACTAAGCCCTAACAAAGAATCCTACGCCAAATTAATATATTTTCTAAAAATTGTTATAAATCCAAAAGTCGTCAGAAGTCGTAGCTTAAATATTGAACAAATAAAAATTAAAGCTCAACTCGACTACATTCCGTGCTAAACCCCCACTTCAATTAAATGTTCCGTTATTTAAGTTCGTTTCAAAGTTTTTTCAAGTTAATTTTTTTTTTATATGAGAACTTCTAGCAGAGATCGTATCATCAGTAGATGACAGCGCCATCTGTTGATGTTTTTGGATATGCAATTTCGTATATATCCAGCCTAAAAGTATACTAACAAACACAGCATAATATTACTCTTCTTGGAGATGTTTAATGCAAAAGATGAAAGTAATGGCACGATTGGCGTACGGCAAATATGGGTTGCTCCCGTGGTACTGTGGTGTTAGTTTTGTAGTAAAAATGTAATCAAGGTGAACATAGATAACAATAGATAATAAGTATATTTTTACCAATCTTACCGAAATATATCGAAAAGCCTCCTCGTACCATAATAATTGTATTAGGTGTGTCTGGTTACCCTAAAAATTTGTTACAATTGATGCAAATTGTAACTGGAAGAGCACTTCGAGAGAGATATTCTTTCACTCAGGATTTCAAATTCTAGCCGGACAAATTTCTTGCAGTCACTTCCCTCTTTTCTTCTACCCCTTCCGGTGATTTTCATTTTCGCAAGCAATGGAAATCGCAAGCCTAATTATATGTTTTCAGCTCATTTTTAATTTTTATGTGTTCCATTTCTTTTTATGGCGGCCAAATTGTTTTGACAAACCTGTTGATTGCTAACAAGTTTTTGTTTTTTTCCGTCGTTTTACTTTTAGATTTTTCTTGCAAAAAAGAATACAACTGCCTTAGTCTCCAAGAAAGAAGCTGTTAGACAATTCATGTTGGAAAAATAACCAGAAAACACCTATTGCGTCCAAAAGTCCCATCTTCCCACCATATTCAAGCAATTTATACGGCCATATTACCTAAATACGTCAGGACTATCTCCTTACCTGAGGGTGTTTGTCAGTTCACCTACCAGGCGCGTCCCCACTGGCGGATAGGGGGGTGGATGATCGCACTGTTTTGCTCGTAACAGGGCTCCTAGTGGCGAAATGGTATAGAGCGGAGCAGTGCGATCACCCGTTCCAGGGATTTTTTCCCGCGGACAAAAAACTGACTACGGGGATGTTCCCCTAAAACAAAAAACAAACATGGAGGAAGTTTTAGAAGAAGAAAAAGTTACGGTGCTGGGCCTAAATAACCCAGTACCGGCGGGTGTTTGTGATCCAGCCACGAGTCACACCCTGTCGTCATCCAACGATCGTGAGCAAAACTCTCCCGTAGATGTGGGTGCCTTGGCATCTGCGGTCGAAGGTACTGCTACAAGCACACATCCCTCGGGCAACAAGATAGACGAAGAGGCTGAGGAACTCAGGGGAAGCGTACCCTCAACCCAACCTTCAACGACAGACTCTGAGTCCGACAACAGCAGCGAATCCCAAATGAGGAGGAGGCGCACAGAACGAAAGAAGAAGTGAGCGACAGCCTAGCGAAGCTCACAACTAAGGCTAAAATGCTGTCTGGGGCTCAGCGGCGAAAGCTCAAGAGGCAACGGAACAGCAAAAACGCAAAGTAGCAGGACGCTCCGAAGGGAACCAAAAATACTCCCCCCACTCCGTTGGAGACAGGGAAGAGGATCAGGTCCCCTGAGGTACAGAATACTGCGAAGCCGGCGAAAAAGAGCTTCCCACCTACGGATGCTTCGGGTAAATCAAGGCAAGGAACCCCCAAGGGAGACTGTAACAGGAATCCTTTGTCCGAGGGTGACAAGGCCAGCCCCAGCACTGTAAAGGTGAGCCCGACCGTGAAATCGACTGTCAAGCCTGGGGTTTCTGAAAAGAAATCCCTCGCTCATCAGAAGAGAAAACGGGCCGGGGAAACGGATACGAAGCCGCCATCGTATGCTAAAGTCGCCAGGAAACACAACAGGGACGAAATGCAATACGCATTAATCGACACCAACAAAGGTTCAGGCAACCTATCAAAAGACCATATAGAAGAGATAGAGGAAATGGTCAACAGCAAAATCCTGGATCTCATCTTGGAAGGTGGAGATCCAATCCCTATCATGATCAGTGAGATTAAGAATAATAAAATGTTCTTTAATCTCGCTTCTCCTGCTAACACCGCCGCCTTAGAGGGGATTATCGAGAAGATAAAACCCCCTTGGGAAAACGGCAGCCTTAAGTTGGTGAGGTGGAGCGAGATTCCTCGCCTAACTAACTAAAACGACGGTGTACGTCAGAGGATACGGCAGCAGACTCGGGACGGAACGCATGCTCGAGATCTTTGGTAACTAAAATAAGACTTTGGACGTGAAGAGATGGGAAGTCTTTCACAGGGAAGAGAAGGAGGATAGGGATTGACGATCTCTCCATGGCTAGTCTGACAAAGACCAAGGGCATAGCTTTCTTCGTCTCGAACGCGGTCCGTTTCAAAAATAACAAGGTCAGCATCGGAGACGAAGGACCCAAGGGAGACAGCGAGGAGGAGAAAGAAAACCCCCCTAGCAACACAATACAGGGAGCCGACGATAAAATCACCGACTCTCAGGAAGCCCGCCTACTGGAGGACCAATGATTGAGGTCATCTAGATCAATCTTCATCGGAGCGAGACGGCAACAATAGCTCTGATGAAATTACTAAATACAAGTAAGATACACATTGGTTTAATTCAGGAACCCTGGACAGTTCAGAACGAGGTCTCTGGACTAAACCATATTAACTATCAACTGTTTTATGCTAACACAGGGTCTCGACCGAGAACTTGTATAATATGTCACAAAAATTTATGCTTTCTTTTCTCCCCAGAGATGTCATCATCGGACGCAACAGTACTGAGGCAGGGGAATGGCAACATATACCTGGCGTCGGTAAACCTACCGTTCGACGCGCCGACATTACCACCCACGTCGGAACTGCAGCGGCTGGTGAGTAAAACAAAACAAACATGTAACGAAGTACTAGTAGGTAGCGATGCTAACTCACATCACATTGCGTGGGGTAGTACTAACACTAACAAAAGGGGCCAGTCCCTACTAAATTATCTAAATATTAATGACCTAACAATTCTTAACATTGGGAATAAAGCGACCTTCGTAAACAAAATTAGGGAGGAGGTTTTAGA